TAGTGATATACTAACACTCTATGAAGATAGTACAGTTAAAATAATACCTGTTGCACTCGCAAAAGACGGAATGCAACTAAAACCTGGATTGCTCTATGACAGTAGACAAGGGAAAATCATTGGAAGTACTCTTAACTTGGATTACAACTACATAAAGCAAGGTGAACCCGAAAAAGATATCCTGAAAAGTTCAATTGTGCAAGAAGCAGAAGCCATGTGCTTAACGACTCTTGATGCAAAGTTTTCCCTTCCTGTCGGTGTAAATCATTTAACCAAAGGACTTACAGCGTTAGATACTTTCAATATGATGAAGAATGAAACACAAGAGATAAATGTTTGCCTTGACCATTTGCAACACAGCAGAACTGATAGCATTATCGTTCAAAAAACCTGTTGCAGTCACTGTGCAATCTGCACTGAATTAGGCACTGTCTGTGATGCTTGCAGTGACAAAGGCCACACTGTTACCGAACCTGCTTTGCGACGTTGTGATTCTTGTCTGGAAAAAGAAATTCAGTGCATTAAAGCAGCAGTTGTGTGTGTTTCAGAGGATTCTGAATCAAGAAATTCTGGTGCACAAAAAGAGCTTGTGAGAGTAAACGACGAACAGTCTGACCCGTTTTTATCAATCATATCTCCCATTCCTGATGGTGTACATGTTGCTAAGAGAAAACGGCAGAGTTTCTCAAATTGGTTCCTGTTAGTAAATAACTACCGAATAAATTTGGTTCAACTCAGGGAGCTAAGAAATGACCACGCCTTACATTCAAAGCTAGCACCCTTGGTACCACTTAGTGCAGTTAGGAATCGTGATCGTCAAGATGTCGAATCTATAATGGAGATCTCGAGTCCATTGGTGAGAAAGATTCTTAAAGATAATGCAAAAACTGTAACTCACACTGTGGTACCTGAGAAGTACAGGCTAAGGGAGGACAACAAAAGCGGAGTTTTTAAGGCACCCATTGGAACATGCATGGGTCTCTTAGGACACATATTTGTCAGTGATGTTGTTCAAGGTAAGGTATACAAGGTGCGAGCGAATCACTATCCAGCAAATGTTACTGTGGAAATGGATAATTTAGAACATCCTATTGGAGTTGCTGTTTTTAAAGACATACTTTACTGTGTGGAATCTCAACGGAACACAATTGCCTTTAAAGATTTAACAGGGGAGACAGTTGTCGATGTGAACAAGTTAACTGTCGAGAAACTTAAGAAGAAGTTGAAAGACATTGGTGCATGGAATGAAGATTATAAAAGAAAACCCAAAAAATTTCTTCAAGAAAAGCTTAGAGAAGCCTTAAACAACAGAGTTGCTTCGGAAACAAATCCAACACAACAGACGACACAACCCAGAAACCTCCCTTCGCATATTGACTTTGACGGAGAAATCAAGCAGCCGGTGGCGTTATGTTTTGATCAAGATGGGAATATGTATGTTTCGACATTCACTGGTGCAGTATATGTCGTGCGGCTGCATTGCAACTTACCCTTACGAAAATCAACACTATTTTAACCCTATTTTACTTTCTATTTTATTCCTATAGAAAAGCTATTTTATTTTTAACCCTATCATATTGCTATCACATATACAAATCCTATATTAAACCTATTAGAATTCTGTTTTAATTGTATTTTATAGCTATTATAAATAGGTTTTTTTGAAACAAAAAATAGCCTATTTTAAATAGATTTTATTTTTCTGAATCGGTGAAGCACAGATTAAAATAGGTTTAAAATAGGATAAAATATATTTAAAATAGAGTGCAAAATAGAAATAAAATAATAAAGTAAAGTGAAACATTGGTATAAAATAGATTTTAAATATACATAAAATAGGTTAAAAATAGTCGAAAATACATATAAAATAGTGGATCAACTGCAGTATATTAACTAAAAATAGTAATAAAATTACTGCAAAATAGTAATAAAATAGTTTAAAAATATAAATAAAATACTGATAAAATAGTAATAAAATTAGAATTTAAAATAGTGATAAAATAGCGAACAAAATAGTAAAAAAATAGTTCAAAATTCTTATAAAATAGTATAAAAATAGTAATAAAATTGTAATAAAATAGTCAGAAAGTAGTAATAAAATAGTTATAAAATAGCAATAAAAGAATAGTAAAATAGTCATAAAATAGCAATAAAATAGTCAGAATGTAGCAATAAAATAGTTATAAAATAACAATAAAATAGCTATATAAAAATAGTAGCACTGCAACATAGTTACTTTATAAAGTAATAAAATTGTAGTATATGATAATTAAAACCAGTTAAAAAATAGTAATGAAATAATATCAAATTAGCTGAAAACTAGCAATGCAGTACCATGGTTGACAGGTACATGTATATTATCGTTTAAAATTGTATAAAATACACATAAAACAGTTTGTATTCTTATTAGCTGTCAATGCTAGGTTGTGGCAGTTTAAGGACGGCAGGGGTGAATGTGGCAGTTTAAGCAGTGTCAAATCAATGGCATTGTTTACCACAGTCAGAGTTACGAACGTTTGAGTAACTGTAAGGAATCTAATTACACGAATGGGTTTCAAATCAATTGCAGAATGAGCAGTCTAGTAGTCTACTAGCAGTTAGACCCATGCCACCAAGCATCTGCAAGATCAAGCAGTTATTGCCAATACATGCCAGCTTAATTGTCATTTGTCAGTAATAAAAGGTGAAAAATGGGCAAGCAGACCACAGTCAATAAGCAAAATTGTCTAGCTTGAGACCTCACAGTTAAATATTGTGTGCAGAACTTAAAGTAGGGAGTGTTAAGGAAAATTACATCTAAATATTTCAACATGAAACATCATCCCAGGTTGAAGATCTTGGCAAGATCTTGTAAGATCTTGCATGATCTTGGAAGATCATGGCAAGGTCTTGGCAAGACACTAATCTTGGCAAGATCTTGCCAAGATATTACCAATATCTTGCCAAGATTATTCAATCTTGCCATACTTGCCAAAATCTTGCCAAGATTGTCTGAAATTCTTGTCAAGATCTTGCCAAGATCTTTCATGATTTTTCGTCATACATAATTCTTGCTGAGTTGTATTTTTCGACCTTCATAAGTATAGGTATAATGAACCTTGATCAAACCAATCGCATATATCACAACATTGCCAATACTCTATCATGATCTTGCCATGATCTTGGAAGATCTTGTCAAGATCCCACCATGATCTTGCCAAGATCCCACCATGGTCCTTGCCAAGATCTTATCACAATCTTGCCAAGATTCTATCATAATCTTGCCATGATCTTGCACAATCTTAGCAAGATTCCACCATGATCTTACCAAGATCATATCAAAATCTTGCCAAGATCCTATTGTAATCTTGCCATGATCTTGGAAGATCTTGTCAAGATCCCACCATGATCTTGCCATGATCCCACCATGATTCTTGCTAAGATCTTATCACAATCTTGCCAAGATTCTATCATAATCTTTCCATGATCTTGGACAACCTTGCCAAGATTCCACCATAATCTTGCCAAGATCTTGTACAAATCTTGTCAATATCCTATCATGATCTTGCCATGATCTTGGAAGATCTTGTCAAGATCCCACGATGATCTTGCCAAGATCCCACCATGGTCCTTGCTAAGATCTTATATCACAATCTTGCCAAGATTCTATCATAATCTTGCCATGATCTTGCACAATCTTGGCAAGATTCCACCATGATCTCACCAAGATCATATCAAAATCTTGTCAAGTTCCTATTGTAATCTTGCCATGATCTTGGAGGATCTGGAAAGACTCCACCATGATCTTACCAAGATCCTACCATGATCCTTTCAAGATCTTATCACAACCTTGCCAAGATTCTATCATAATCTTGCCATGATCTTGGACAATCTTGCCAAGATTCCACCATGATCTTGCCAAGATCTTATCAAAAATCTTGCCAAGATCCTACCATAATGTTGCCATGGTCTTGAAAATCTTGACAAGATCTCACCATGATCTTGCCAAGATCTCACCATGATCTTGCCAATATCTTACCAAAATCTTGCCAAGATCTTATTGTTATCTTGCCATGATCTTGGAGGATCTTTTCAAGATCCCATCATGATCCTTGCTAAGATCTTATCACAATCTTGCCAAGATTCTATTATAATATTGTCATGGTCTTGGAAGATCTTGTCAAGATCTCACCATGATCCCAGCATGATCTTGCCAAGATCTTATCTATCTTGATCTTGGAAGTTCTTGACACAATCTCTTGTCATGATTTTACCATGATCATACCAAAAATGCCATGATTTTGAAAGATCCTTGTGAAAGGAGGCTTTTACGCGCACAGTTGCTCTCGCACCTTCGCGTGCCAGATCCAAATGACTGAAATGAGATCAATTAATCAACTGTAAATCTTGTTATCTGCGCATTTTTCGCATATTTGTGGTAGACAACCGTTGGTAAAAGCCCCAAGGCGCGTTTTATAAGTCAAACATACAAGGTACACGGCAGTTTATACTTCTGTTCCTCGACTTTGTTGCTGCACTAAATAAGAAAGGATAACTTGTCGAGCTGTCTTAAATAAAAAGTAAGTGCTTACAACCTATTTTGTAACACATTATTTGTATATTGAATGAATGAGCGCTAAGCAGTTTGATTACCACATGTAATAAATGTTTCAAGCTTTTTCAAATAACCTTACAAAAGGCTAAGTTAATTGGGTAAAGCGATGCAATGCTTGCTGTAATTTCGACTTTAAATAATTTTAATAACACCTCAGCATTGGTCGCAATAAGCTTTTACGTGATAATGCCTAGTTTAACGTTTTGTTAAGAATGACAAAGCCGTTGAGAATACCCCTGGGACCACAAATTATTATATTCACACAGTCTTATATTTATTACACAGCTTTTGCGCAGCTTGCGCTACTGAAATGTCCTGATAACCGTAGTTTTGACAGATCGGTTGCCAAACATCGTAAATGCAGCGCATAGGAACACGCAATTTCACACTACGGTATAAATGTGAGCTTCATTAGTGAGTTAAGTTTCATTATGCCAACCAGTGAAGCTAGGATAAAATATAGAGATCTTTCATATAAAATTAATGGTTTGAGCTATGATTATTCAACATGTGTATTATTCAAAATTTGTTATTTCAAATATTATTTAGGAAAACATGGTGAAGGCATCCTCAAATGATAAAGCTATGGCCAAAAAAGAAACTACAGAGATCGAAATTGTAAGTATGAGTGTATACATGTGTAATTTATCGTTTTCAATTAAAAAGAATTCAACTACAGTGATTTAATATCAAGTATTGTTAATTCATTTTAGTGGCACAATGACATTAATTTGATGACCGTAAATGCACCACCAAAAGAGCCATCAAAATGTGCAATCAAATTATTGGACTTCCTATTTTCATCGGAAGAGCTCCAGGATGGAATACTATTCCAGTCGAAAAGATCTCCAAAACCAGCACTAGATCCCAACAGGGTCACTAAATTGTTTGGTAAGAATATTATATGTGATTTGACTTCAAGAAAAATTAACTGGCCAGCTGTGAACAGATATATACAAACTTAAGACTAAGTTGCCACAGTATGTGTTAATTAAAAGTATATAGTTTTCTTTGCCAATGGCAATGTGTTTCGGGTAAACATTGAAATGAACTTAAGTACAAAAAATAGACTTACTTTAACACAGTCTTTTTTTACGATATAGCTGTCCTCAACGCCAAGTATGGCGAAGAAAAAGTACAGAGAACAGTAAACACGCCAAATTATCGTGGATGCGTGCAATCAAAATTCAAAAGTGCCGCGATATGCGAAGAAAAACAAAATCGAAGAACTTGCAATAACAATGGTGTCAATGCTAACATAGTTCATGAAGTAAAGTATGAAACAACCTCCGAATAAAAGTTCCATCTTGAAACTCAATTCTTTAGAACAACATTATTAAGAACAGACAAGATTCCCTTTGTTTTCTTTCAAATATTGAGCAAGGTGGAACTTTCATTCGGACTTTATTTCAATCGCCATAGATATTGATAATATTTTACCAACATTATTGGTCTAATTTACTACATTTACTATGCAAACTAAACCGGGTAAAAGCTTGAGTGTTATAATTTGGATGAACTAATTTATTTCAATTTAATAAAGACCGACACTGAATTTATGGCAATATTGTACACTTTTACGTTAGTTTGATAAATTCAATCAAAGTTATATCCAGAGTATAGTATATTTCATGTAGAGCCTCTTCATTCTGTATTTGCCATGTATTCTTGCCACGAACTTGGTAAAATCTTGTAGGGTCATGGCAAGATCTGGCTGGATTTTGGTAAGATATTGAAGGATCATGGCAAGATCTCGCAGGATTTTTGGTAAGATCTTGGAGGATCATGGCAAGATCTTGCTGGATTTCGGTAAGATCTTGGAGGATCATGGCAAGATCTGGCAGGATTTTTGGCAAGATCATGGCAAGATCTTGCTGGATTTTGGTAAGATCTTGGAGGATCATGGCAAGATCTTGCAGGATTTGTGGTAAGATCTTGG